TCTCACTCTGTCAGTCAGACTGGAGTGCAGTGGCCGCTCCCGCCACTGCAGCCTAGCCCTGCTGGGCTCCAGCGATCCTTCCGCCTCAGCCTTCCAAGTAACTGGAACTACAGGCATGTGCCACCATGCCTGGCTAACTTTTTTTATTTATTGTAGAGATGAGGTCTCACCAAGTTACCGAGGCATGAGCCATTGTGCCCGGCCAAATACATGATTTTTAATAAATAAATTTCAGATTTTTTGGGTTCTCTCCTCTTATAATGTGATGCATTTTGGCATACATATATAAATCTGTGAAACTGTCACCAAATCAAGGAGATGAATGTATCCACTAGCTGCAGAAGTTAGCTCTCCTTGCCTGCAACCTGCCCCTGCCATCCTCCGGCTATTGATCTGCTTTCTGTCACTATACAAAAGCTTACATCTTCTGGAGTTCCCTAAAATGGACTTGTACACTGCGTGCTCTCTTTTGTCTGTCTTTTTCCAGTCAGCATAGTTGTCTGAGATTCATCTGTGCTCTTTGTGTGTGTCAGTGGTTCATTTCTTTTGTTGCTAAGTGGTGTTAACATAGGGTGGATGTGTTACAGATTGTCCTTTCTCCTGGTGATGGGCATTTGGGGCATTTCCAGTTTTTGACCATTACAAATAAAGCTGCCAGGGACCTTTGTGTGTGGGTCTCTGTGAGGACATGCCTTAACATCTATTGAAATATAAATCACACTTTTTTTTTTTCTTTGAGTTGGAGTCTCACTCTGTCACACAGACTGGAGTGCAGTGGCTGCTCCTAGCCACCGCAGCCTCGACCTGCTGGGCTCCAGCGATCCTTCCGCCTCAGCCTTTCGAGTAGCTGGAACTACAGGCGCACGCTACCACGCCCGGCTAATTTTTGATTTATTGTAGAGATGAGGTCTCGCCAAGTTACCCAGGTGGGTCTCAAACCTGCGGGCTCAGGCAATCCACTCATCTCAGCCTCTCAAAGGTGCGGGATTACAGGCTGAGCCACTGAGCCCGGCTTAAAATCACACTTCTGATGTTAATGAAACTGCATAAATTTTGACAAATGTATGCATTTGTGTAATCACCACCACAGCCAGGTGCGGTGGCTTTTGCAATCCCAGCACTTTGGGAGGTGGAGGCAAGAGGATTGCCTCCACCCAGGAGTTTAAGACCAGCCCGAGCAACTTGGCAAGACTTGTCTCTACAATAAATTAAAAAATTAGCCAAGCATGGTGGTGTGCTCCTGTAGTTCTAGCTACTTGGAAGGATTGCCTGAGCCCAGCAGGTCGAGGCTGTGGTAGCCAGTGCACTCCAGTCTGGGTGACAGAGTGAGCCTGGGTGACAACTAAAAAAAAATAAAAAATAAAAATCCCCACTACAGTCAAGACACAGAATATTTCCCTCATCCCAGGAAATTCTGTCTCTTCTAGCCCCTGGCACTAATCTAATTTCTATCCATTGAGTTCTCTGTGTTTTAGTCATATCAGTAGAACCATGGCGTGTGTACCTGTTTGCTTCTGGCTTCTATCACCCAGCATGGAGCTTCTGAGATTCCTCCATGTTGTGGCATGTGTTTGTTCCTTTTGATTGTTGAGGAGTATTCCATTGCATAGAGGTATGACAATTTGTTTATCCATTCACCGGTTGCTAGACATTTGGGATGTTTCCAGGCTTTGGTGATTCTGAATAAAACTGGCATAAAGTTTTTAAAAAATCAATTAATTGATTTACTGCCTTTTTTTTGAGTTGGGGGTCGCAGGCTGCAGTGCAGTAGCACAATCACAGCTCACTACAGCCTCGACCTCCTGGCCTTAGGTGATTCTTCCACCTCAGCCTTCCCAGTGTTTGGGACTACAGTACACACTACCATGCATTTTTGTCAGACAAGGTCTTACTATGTTTTCCAGGCTGGTCTCAAACTCCTGTCCTTAAGCGATCCTCCCACCTCAGCCTCCCAAAGTGCTGGGATTATAGTTGTGAGCCACTACATT